AAAAAAAAAAAAAAAAAAAAAAGGTACATCAACAACTAAAAAAGAAAAAAAAGTTCAACAACTACAAAGTATTAAAGGGAGGAGAATCATTTATCCATATCTTCTGCCATAGAAATTTATAAATCTATGGTCTGCAATTAGTTCTGCACTTCATTTTCTCCCATAGTACTACATTGTGTGGTTTCCAGTCTTTTGCTATGCTAACAAAGAATAAATTCAACCTAGTTGAGAGTAAAGAAAATTATATTGGGGCTGGGGATGTGGCTCAAGCGGTAGCGCGCTCGCCTGGCATGCGTGCGACCCGGGTTCGATCCCCAGCACCACATACCAACAAAGATGTTGTGTCCGCCGAGAACTAAAAAATAAATATTAAAAATTTTCTCTCTCTCTCTCCTCTCTCCCTCCTCTCTCCCTCTCAAAAAAAAAAGAAAATTATATTTACTTGGCGTTAATTAGAATTGCAACCTAGGAAAACACAGATTCAAACAATCTTGAAAATGGGTTCCCTGCCCACTTTTTAAGGCATATTCACTCATCATCTTTCTTGCCTCATCAGCTACTCACTTCCCCACCACTCCACTGACATCACTTTCCCTCACCACCACCAGCTCACAGCTGTCACTAACATTAAATATCAATCATCAAGGACTTCTCAGCATCCTTGTTGGGCATGTCATCTTTCCTAAAACTCTCTCCCTCTTTACACTCTGGCCAATCCCTCCTGCTTCTGCTTCTGCCTCTTGAGCTACTGCAGGATTTCTTCTTCAGCCTTTCATGTTCCACATCCTCTCAGAGACTATAACCTCTCCCTGTTTTAACTCCACTAATTTCAGAAGATCCTCTGTCTCCAGACTCACATGTCTATCTACCTACCCACTGGCATATCCATCTATATGTCCAAACCCAAACACATCATCTCCACCACCTTCCCTTCTTCAACACTGCCCATTCCTCCTGTATCCCCTCTACCTTAGGGGATAGCTAAAGTAGCTCCATCCCCTAGTCACTTCTATCAGAAATCTTGGTGCTTCTTCAACTTTCTCTCTCCTTCCATCACTGCTTCCAAACTCAAAACTCTGAGTTACCAAACTCAAGCTCCCTCAAAGGTGCCTCTTCCTCTCTCCATCTCTATTGCCTAAGCTTTGGGACTGCAATATTCACCCAAATGAATTCCTCTTTCCATCCCATTCCCCATACTGCTCTCAGCAAGTGTTCCAAAATACAACCTGATCTTCTTTCTCCCACTTAACATTTTAATTACTCAGGAAATAATGTCCAAAGTTTTAGAAGTAAGGTAACAGTGTTGAGCTCTTATTCTGTAGCAGACACATATTTCATGCAATCTCAAGCAGCCCTAAGATAAAGGTATTATATGGTGACATGAATATTATTTAACAAGGCATGTGGTATTATACTACAGGTTGGTGAAGTAAAATAGCATGGCCAAGTTAAGAAGTGGTGAAGCCCATACTTAAGCCCATGTTCCTCTTCCTGTGTTTTATTCCAACTCTTTACAATGTGATTTCCACTGACCTTTCAGCACCTTCTCTCACCACCTACTTTGATGATACTGGGAATTAAATTCAGAGATACTCTACCAGTGAACTACAACCCAGGCTTTTTATTTTTTTTAAGACATGGTCTTGCCAAGTTGCCCAGTATAGTCTTGAACTTGCTATCTTTCTGGATTAGCCTCCTGAGTAGCTGGGATTTCAGATATGTACCACCATGCCTGGCTATGCTATAATCTTTTATACCTGTCTCTTCCATAAAACTGCATTCCTTAAGGATGGAAAACCAATTTTCTCCATCTTGGTTTCCACAGTCCTAGCACAGTGTTGGCAAGTTGAAATCGCTTAATGATTGCTCAGTAACTACAACCACATACTTTCAAACATTCCTTCAAAGGGGGAAAAAAAAGCATTTTTCTTTTTCTTTTTTACTCAAGAGAATCTGCCTATGTAAGTGGGTCACCATTTCAGTGATACAAAAATTTCATCAACTCCACTAGTACTGAATCTTGGGTCTTCTTTACAATACTAGGTAGATATTCTGAGACTGGTAAGGCAGCTACAAATGTCTGGCACTCCAATGGGTGTTAGAGTCTGTAAACAAGTCAAGATGGCGCCTGGCATTTTGCCAGAGGGAGTGGTTTAAGAAGTAACGTCAGTGAGGCATTAAGTGTGGAGATTCCTTATTGGTTGACTGCTGTATCTAGTTTATGTTAAATAAGATAAGCTATGTATTCAGTAATGTATATATACCCCTCCTGTCCTACAATAAACGGCTCCCACTCCTCCTGTATCAATCTATACAAGTTGTTCGTTACCCACCGGTTATTTTGCGGCAGCCGGACTGTGGCAAATGGGCATGACTGTACCTAACTCTACAGATACCTTCCTGGTTAAACAGACCTGCTCATGAATAACACCAGCTATGATCATTAAGCACTGAGTGACAGTCTACTGGAGCCATCCCAGCATGGATTACAGGCATCTGCTTTGAGATGAGTACACAATCCAGCTGTAGTCCCAACTATGAACCTGCCCTTGTTACCTGGCAATTTCCTGGTGGTAGTCATAGTGTTCATCCTCTTCCAGCCACTCAACAGATCCTGTAGTGGGATTGGCTCGCCCACAGAAGACCTTCATGGTGCCACAAGCTCCCCAGTGTCTGGATAGAAAAGCAGCCTTGCCAGTTTGCTTCTTAAGAACAGATCTGATGGTCAGAAATCTATTCAATCATGGTACCCCAAAATGAGGCGAGAACAATAAAACAAAAGGTGAGGAAAAAGAATTAAGAAATTGACAAAAATATCAAAGTCACTGAAGTATTTGTTAATCACTATTTTCATCTTTCCATCAAGATTTAACTGATCTTGCCAAGCAGGAAGGTGCACACCTGTAATTCCAGCAATTGGGGAGACTAAAGCAGGAAGATTGCAAGTTCAAAGTCAGCTCAGCAATTCAACAAGGCCCCAAGAACTCAGCAAAACCCTGTTTTATTTTAAAAAAAAAGGATTGGGAATTAGAAAACATTTGCAGGGGTTCATGTGGGAAACAATCCCAATACCCTTATCCTGTGGTCCATGTACAACCACTTCTGAAGTCATTTAAAATTCAAGATCGAGGGCTGGGGATGTGGCTCAAGCGGTAGCGCGCTCGCCTGGTGTGCAGTGCGGCCCGGGTTCGATCCTCAGCACCACATACCAACAAAGATGTTGTGTCTGCCGAGAACTAAAAAAAAATAAATATTAAAAATTCTCTCTCTCTCTCTCTCTTTCTCTCTCTCTCTCCCCCCCTCACTCTCTCTTTAAAAAAAAAATAAATAAATAAATAAATAAATAAATAAAATTCAAGATCGACCGGGTTCGATCCTCAGCACCACATACCAACAAAGAAGTTGTGTCCGCCGAGAACTAAAAAATAAATATTAAAAATTCTCTCTCTCTCTCTCTCCTTAAATAAATAAATAAATAAAATTCAAGATCGTAGTATAGAACTTTGTTCAATGGAATTCCTTTTCTGCCTGTGATATTGCTGTGGATAAAACCAGGAGTACAATATCCTTTCAGAACTGTAGTCACTGGCTTTATAATTCTGTATAATTAATTCCTTGCAGTGTTGGGGATTGAACCAAGGACATCACATGGTAGGCAAGTGCTCCACCACTGAGCTACACCCCTAGTCTCAAATAAATGTTGTTAGATGGGAACCATGCCCTGTGTTAACAGTTTTATGAATGACTGAACTTCTGGGTAAACACTTCCATGGATAAATCCCTCATATATTAGTATGACTTGTCCTCTTTCAGAAGGAGCACTCACTTCAGATTCAGAAGACATTCTCTGACCCTTTCCACATCCTCCAGAAGCTATGAACTCACATTTAGAGGGAATGAATGGAAATCATCAAGCCAAACCCTAATTGTATTACTAGTCAGATTTCAGTTACTCATTCAAAACTTCTCTATAGCAGGCACTGTGTTAGGGACTGGGATAAATAGGACCACCATAATAAGACAGAGGAGGTCCTTGACCCCTTAGAGAATAGACTCTATGTGAGTGCAAGAAAGAAAGTGTACGGGGCACATTAAAAAAGAATAGTTACAGAAGGACTCTGAAGAAGACAACATTCAAGTTGCGAGCCTGCACCGCAAGCCAGGCTAAAAGTTAGGAACATAGTTTTTATATGCCAGGAATGCTTACCCCAACTTTTCCAAGGGCCATAAACTAAAGTAGAAAGAACAAGATGCATAAAGAAAATGTGATAAAAGCCTGAATGAATGAAGCACTTACACACAAGAAATAATAGGAGATTAAAAGTGAGCTAATACAAAATTCACGTGGCCTTTCGGTTTCCGAAAGGATTGTATTCTAAGTGCAACAGGAGTCACCCAAGGGTTTTAAGCAGACGCATGTCTACATCAGGTGCCCACTTTTGCAAGGCCGCTCCTGGTTACGGCGTTGGGTATATGAAATGGTGTTCAACGACACTGACTAGAAAAGGCGAGTCATCAGAGCTTTTGAATCAAGAAACAGTGGCCCAGTTCGTGGTGCGAGGCACCAAATAAGAGTGCTGTCTGTAACACAGGCCTCGTCCTGTGCTCGGCCACTGGCCCACCGAAGGCATTGGTATCCGGACTGAAAAGCCAGGGTTGGCCTGGAAACACACTCTCCGGCCGGCCAGGGCGCTCCGAGCAGCCACATGCGTACTCAGGAAAGGTCCGGAACAGGGGCACACCGCGGCATCCGAGTACGCCCACGCCAGACACCTCCACCCAAGCATGAGGCAGAGGACACTACGCTAGTTGTCGCCGGGACTCCAACTACGACCCCACCTTCCCAGCACGCCCAGCTTCTCACCCGGCGCAGGAATCACTCGGCTTACTACCGCCGCCGCCGCTACCGCCATCTTGCCGTGGTCAGCGTGCGGGGCGGGGCCTTCGGGCGTCCACGGGGCGGGACCTGGAGCACAACTGGAGGGTTCGCCCGACGCATTCTTCGCCTTCCCATAGTGCTTCGCGACAGCCGGTATGGAGGCCGGCAGGACCGCAGTGCTGCGGGTGAAGCGGAAGCGCACCGCGGAGCCAGCCGAGGCTCTTGTGCTTGCTTGTAAGCGCCTTCGGAGCGGCGATGTCGATGTCCAGTCGGCTACTCAGAAGACACCGGAGGGTCTGGAGAGAGCGGCGGAGAATAATGTCTTCCAGTTGGTGGCCACCGTGCACTCTCAGGTATTGGGCCGTGATGGAATTTGTGTGGAGGGGATCTTGGGTCGCGGCCAGGATGGAACCGGATCTCCAACCCCCTTGCTGACGCTACCCTATCTTCCCCTGCTGCTCTCCAGGAGGAGCCAGTCCAGCAGCTCGTGCGGGCTGCCTTGCGCCCTTCACGGGGCAGCCAGCAGCGTATCCGCCGCGATCTCCGCGCCTCAGCTCGCGATGTGCGGAAAGAAGGCCGCTACCGGGTGGTCTCCAGCCGCCGATCCTCAGGGAACTCCGGCAGCCTGGAGTCCGAGTACGCGCCAGGAACCCCAAAAGCTGCTGGGGACGCAGACTTTCAGCTATTGGACCTGGTACATGAGGAGGAAGACCCAGAGGCTGACACCACGGCCTCCTTCAAAGTGAGTATGCACCGGGAAGTGGGTGCTGGACGTCTTTGGTGGTAATACCAGAAAGAGTCTGCGCAGAGAGCAGCACTTAGTTAAGTGGCCGCACATAGCTTAACCTTAGGAACAGATTTTACCGATTTGATTTTTGACTCTACAGGTATTTACTCAGTGCCTATGTGCCAGGTATTGTTCGTAAATTGTATGCATATAACAGTGAGGACAGAGAAGAAAACATTCAAAGCAGAGGAGAAAAACCGATAGTGAGTAAATTGTCAGAAGGGGACAAAGGCGAGAAAGCGTGGTGCCAATTTTGTGAAAAAAGCCTTTCAAGTAAAGACTTGAAAGTGAATGGCAAGGCTAGGCGCGGTGGCACACCCCTATAATCCCAGCAGCTCAGGAGGCAGAGGCCGATCTTAGGAAGATCCTGTCTCTAAATATAATATTTAAAAAGGGCTGAGGACGTGGATCAGTAGTTAAGAGCCCCTAGGTTCAATCCATAATACTAAAAATTTGAAAAAAAAAAAAAAGGAAGGAAGGAAGGAAAGTTATGATGATGGGCATTGGTTGGGGGGCGAGGGCTTTCAAGGCAGAGGACCTGCAAGGGCAAAGGCCCTAAAGCTGAATTTGTGTGGTGTTCAGTGGACCGACAGGTTGGGACCTGTGTGTTAGAGCCAAATCTTTCCCCATAAAGAGCTTTGCTCAAGAGCCTGCACAAAAACTTGCATCTGTAGTTTCATTGACTTTGATGGGAGAATCCTCTGAACCTGTAAATGACAACCTCAGTCTCCCTGTGTGCTTTAACCATGGGACACTCTCCACTTTCTCGTGTGGTATCTGGTTTGAGCTATGCAGCTTCCTGTGATGAATCTGTTGAGGGGCATTCCACAGCACATCCCCCTAGTTTCCATATCTACTTGTGCTACAGGACCCTGGATAAGACATCTTATAGGCACTGGACCACATCTTACCTGGACTAGACCTATATTCTGGGACATTTCATTCAAGCTATTCTTTTGAGCAGAAAAGATAAGTGAATCAATTTGTGATTTAAAAAGAGGTCAGTACCTGCCATGGTAGTGCACATCTATAATCCCAGTGACTCAGGAGAGGAGGCAGAGATGAGAGGATTGCAAGGGACAGGCCAGCCTCACCAATTTTGCAAAATCCCATCTCAAAATAAAAATAAGGGCTGGGAATGTAGCTCAGTGGTAAAGTGCCCTAGGTTCAATCCCTAATACCATTTAAAAAAAAAAAAAATGATGTCAATGGGGCAAGCCAAAAAATGAGCAATGGTAGTGGTCCCCAGAAGTTGCCTGTAGGCCTCTAAAGATGGCCTCACAAAATGCCAGCCCATTTTATGGTCAGCAATAGAGGTGCTGTTTGGATATGTGGATCCCTTATGGGAAAATATCATGCCAAAGGAACTCAGAGAAGATCTAGATCTATAGAAGCAGGTTTGACTCAGAGCTTGGTAACAAGCTGGCCAATTTATCTAACTCCCTTTGCCTCTTTTTAGGCCAGTGTTTAAGTTGTAAATGGACACAAATCTTTATTTAAATATTCATTTATTTTTATGTGGTGCTGAGGATTGAACCCATGTGTGCCTTGACCATGGGACACTCTCCACTTTCTCATGTAGTATCTGGTTTGAGCTATGCAGCTTCCTCACATATGTGAGGCAAGTGCTCTGCCACTGAGCTACAACCCCAGCCCCCATATGTTTTTTTGTGTCAGCCAAGATCAAAAGAGCAGGAGGAATTCTTAATAGGTTTTTATTCAAAAAGGACTACCCGTTAGTTTTACAGACATTCTGGATTTCTTTAATTTTGTAGCTAATTAAGAGGAGATTAGTAGTCTATGAGAATCTTTTTTTTTTTTTAATATTGTTTAGTTGTAGATGGACACAGTATCTTTATTTATTTGTTTTCATGTGGTGCTGATGATCAAACACAGGACCTTACATGTGCAAGGCAGGCAGTTTACCACTGAGCTACAGCCCCAGCCCTAGAATAAGAATCTTAAATATTAACAGAACTGTAACAGGCCTTCTTTCACACAACTCTTTGGTTCCTCATGGAAAACGTTTTGAGTCATGCCTGTATTATGTTTTCACAGACATCTGACCCAGATGTGATCCTCTGCAATTCTGTAGAGATGATCCGCGAGCGGTTGACTGTATCTGAGGATGGACCAGGAGTCGGGCACCAAGAGGAACAAAAGCACGATGACTATGTATATGACATTTACTACTTGGAGATGGCCACTCCAGGGTGGATTGAGAATATCCTCTCTGTGCAGCCCTACAGCCAGGAATGGGACCTGGTAAGGAGGTCGATGAAGGGAGGAGGGCATGTGGCTACCTGAACTTTTTCTTTGGTTAGGGTGCTTTGCCTCTCCGGGCTTCACTTCTCATCATTTCTCTTGTTCTTACTTAAAAGGAAAAACTTATTCTACATTGGTTTTGTTATTGTAATACTGGGGATTGAACCCAGGACCTGGCACACACTAAGCAAGCTCTCAACCACTGTGGTACATCCCCAACTTTTTAATTTGGTACAGGGTCTATTTAAGTTGATTATGCTGGCCTTGAACTGGGATACACCTGCATCAGCCTCCAGAGTAGCTTGGATTACAGGCATATGCCCCTGTGCCCATCAGGAAATAAATTTTTCACATGGCAGTAAAAATTTACTCTAAATGTCTTTTATAAACCTGAGCTTAGTGTAGGAAATTTTAGGAAATACCCCCAAATTTTCTTTCTCTATCATTGAACAGTATTTCCAAGGGGACTGCTGTGGGTTGATATTTTTTAGAAGCAGTGATAATTTTTGCTCATAATCTTTTACAAGGTTTACAAAATTATCTTTATTGTTTATGGCTACCTGTTTATAGCTATCCACTTCAGAGGGTAAATATGTATAAGGGCTTAAATAAAATCAAAGTAAAAACAGATTTTTTTTTTCTTCTTTCTTTTTTTTTTTTTTTTTGGTAGTGGGAATTGAATCCAAGGAGACTTCACTACTGAGCAACATCCCTAGTCCCTTTTCTTTTTCTTTTGAGACAGGATCTCACTAAGTTACCCAGGATGGCCTTGAACTTGTAATCCTCTTGCCTCTACCTCCCAAGTTACCAGGATTGGTGTGCACCACTACATCTGGCAAAATCAGACATTCTTAACATGAATGAGAACAAAAGCATTTATTTATTTATTTGGGGTGCTGAGGAATTAACCCAGGGGCACTTAACCACTAAGCCACATTCCAGCCCTTTTTAAATTTTTATTAATTTATTTAGGCACTGAGGATTGAACCCAGGTATGCTGGGCAAGGACTCTACCGCTGAGCCACACCCTTTTTTTATTTTTTTATTTTGAGACAGGGTCTCTCTAAGTTGCTGAGACTGGCTTCAACTTGTGATCCTCTTGCCTCAGCCTCATGAGTAGCTGGGATTACCGGTGTGCATAAAAGTTTTTATTTTAATTGTATTAAAAGAGGAGAAAACTTTGGATGATGAAAGCTAACATCCTAACACCATATTCTTAAATTTTAATATGATTAATGAGAAAGATGTAGTTGGCACCTGATATACTCAAATTGTAAAAGTTAAGTACCTTCTCTTGCACCTGCACTGTACCCATAGTTTTGCTGTCAGGCCTCTACCATGGACCACTACATAGTTCCTACTCCTGCCTTTGTGCACCTCCTCATATTGTGTTTTAATTCTGACCTTTGGCATCACCCACAATCCATAAAATTCCTCTCCCATCTGGTGGCCCTCCAAGAGTTTGAAGATTGAAGTCATTACCTGCTCAGAGCTGTGGCCTGCTCAGAGCTGTGGCTCCTCTGCATTCCATTGTGGTGGAGCTGAATCATCTCCTCTTAGCCTGAGATTATTATCATAGTCCCTTGTATAGCAGTTAAACTAACTCCTAATAGCTTCCTCCAAAGAGCATACCCTAAAGATCATTTGACTTAGACTTATGTTTGTGTTGAGATGTGCAGGTAAATGATGATCAACAACCAGATGATATTTATGAAGACGAAGATGATGAGAACAGTGAGAATAATTGGCGCAACGAGTACCCAGAGGAGGAGAGCAGTGATGGTGATGATTCCAGAGGTAGGTGAAAGATTGAATAGGGAGGGACTGATAAGATCCAAGTCTGAGGTGAAGGCAATTGACAGGTACATCTCAACTGATTTCCTTCTCTGCCATTGAACTGTATTTCCAGGAGGACTGCTGGGAGCATAATGTCAGTCAGGCCTGGGTTCAGATCCTTAGTTCTGTCATTGCCTTCTTATGACTCTTATGCAAGTTACTCCAGTGAGCCTCATTTCTCCTTCAAAAAATGAGACAATACTGCACCAACTTCAGTGGTTGGGATTTAGTAAAACATCTAGCCCGATGCCCCTCTCCCTGCTCCTATCTAGGAATAATGAAGAAAGAGGGTTGCCAGTAGGGATAGGCCCAGGATTTTCACAAGTCTGTCAAATAATTTCAAAAAATTTCTACATTTCCAATTCTTTAGAGAATGATATAACATAGATGTACTATTTAGGGGAAGAAGGAGGAAGGATATCCTGGCAACTCAGTTTCTTTGGTGATTACATTCTTCCGAGTACAGCCAATAAAAATAATTTTTTGATGTCTCATAATAAAGAAAGAATTTTACCAAAGGGGAAAGTAAGTGACAAAATACTCCCATTATTAGGGACTTGGTTAGATGTTGGGAATGAATACTTTAAAAATGTTCTACATTCTAGATATTATTTACTGAAAATGTATTTTATAATGGGGAAGGGAAGGAGTTCTTGCCATACCCTATAAAATCATAATAGAGTAAGAATCCATTCCTGGTGTCTCCATCTAGACTCTGATGAATATAACAGCCTCAGTGAGGAGGAAAGAGGCAGCAGCAGGCGACTGGTATGGAGCAAGTACCCTCTGGATGTACAGAAGGAGTTTGGCTATGACAACCTCCACGACCTGGATTCAGATTGATGGTCTTGTGATATCCAGGAGGTTCTACCACAGGCCTTTGAGGGCTCTGTGACTGGTATCAACTGGCCTAGCAACATGCTCTTAGGATTCCTAGGTGAACATGTGGAAGGAAAAAGCAGACCCAATAGTACCACCCCAGCAGTGAAAACTTAAGGGAGTACATCTTTTCTACTCACAGTAGGCTTCTTGACCTCTATCAAAAGAGACCCTACCATCTAGGGGGGAAAAAAAAAATGGAAGTTCCTTTCACTTCCTGGCCCAGGCATTTTTCCTAATATTCCAGTTCTCTCATGCTTAAGCCAGAAGGGAAGGAGAGACACCTGTTTCATTAGCAGTAATATTCTGCTTCTCCCCACCCCACCCCAGGCTGCCTACCTGCAGTAAAAGCCTGCTCTCTTCGATAGAGGGGATCTAGAAGGGCTACAGTGGGTCCCTTGCAGGGCACAACCCAGTTATAACAACTATTAGGGCAGAACGTGGAATCTGAGCTGGGAGGTTTTAGTCAATAGGTCTTTGTCCTCCCTGCTTCAGACTTCAATAATGGTTGTAAAGATTGCTGTTGTTCTTTGGTAATGGGGCCAAGGCACAATGCATATGAATGATACTATTAAATAAAGATTAACTTTTAATATGGAAGCAAGCAATTTTTCAAAAACTTTTCCCCCTTTTTTTGCAGTTCTGGGAACTGAACCCAGGAGTACTCTACCACTAAGCAACACCTCCAGCCCTTTTTATTTTTTTGAGACAGGGTCTCACTAGCCTCAAACTTATCATCCTCCTTCCTTTAGCCTAGTAAGTAGCTGGGATTACAGATAAGCACTAACACATCCAACTCTTCAAAACCATTTAAATCTGAATATCTTAGGTGTTTTTCCATTGACTTTCCCCCACAAAAAAAATGGGGGGTTAATGAGGTAGAAGTTACAGAATTAACCTTAGACATAAAGGTCTCACAACAAGGGAGGATGAAGTAAGCATAATCTGAACTTGGCTTTCTATCGAGAAGTGTTTCTTACCAAAACAGTAATTGTCCTTCAGTATCTGTGGGTGACTGATTCAAAAACCTCCTGTGGATACCAAAATCCACAGATGCTCAAGTCCCTTGTATAAAATGACATAATATTTGCATATAACCTACACACATCCTTCAAATACTTTGTCATCTCCAGATTATTTATAAAATCTAATGCAGGCAAGCACTGTGGCACACCCCTGTAATCCCAACAGCTCACAAGGCTCAGGCAGGAGGACCACAAGTTCAAAGCCAGCCTCAGCAACCTAGCAAGGCCCTAAGTGGCTCAGTGGTTGAGTGCCCCTGGGTTCAAACCCCAGTACCAAAACAACCAAAAAAAAGAGTGCAATATACATAGCTGATATACTGTATTTGGGGAATAATGACAAAAACTATGTTTAGTATAGGTAGTTTTTTTTTTTCTACCAAAAAATATTTTTAAGCTACAGTTGAATCCATGAGTGCAAAATTTATAACTATATATGAACAGAACAAATTTTGGTGCCCAAACTTTAAATCTCTTGTAAGCAATTTCTATCCCTACTCTTCAAAATCCCAGCTGCCTTAACTGTTTGGCATTGATTCTGGTCAAATAGAGTGATAAATGTTCTATATCTATATTCTCTAATAGTAGCCACTAGCCATATGTGGCCATTGAGCATTTGCAATCTGATTAGTGCAACTGAGAAACTGATTTTTTTTTCTTTTTTTCTACTGAACCCAGGGCCTTACGCACATTAGGCAAGTGCTGTGCCACTGAGCCCTTTTTAATTTTTTTTAAATTTCGAGAAAGGGTCTCGCTAAGAGCTGGCCTCAGATTTGGACTCCTCTTGCCTGTTTGCTGAATAGCTGAGATTACCATACCTGGCCATGAATTTTTTTACTTTGTTTTAACTAGCTACATTAGCACAGGTCTAGGGAAACACACAAAACTTTCCATTTGAGGTAGCCATCTTACCCTGTTTCTCTATCACATAGGAAAGTGAAATATACAGGGAAGTCTTCTTCTCATCTCTTTCAAGATTTTATAGGTTTCTCTACTTTTCCCTTCCTACTTCTACCCATTCTTTTTACTTTATGTCCATTTTATAAGCACTTACCTACATTTGTTCCTATCTACATGGAATTGTTAAATCTGCTAGAATTATTAGGCTTTGTACTCGGGCTATTACTGCAGCTAATTAAACCTAAAAGCAGGCTTAATACTAGTCATCTTAGTCTCCTTCTGTAGACATAGAAATGAAGGATTAAAAACCACTTTGCCGTTTTAATGTACTCACTGCTGTTTATGTGTTCATTAAGTTTCGTCAACATCAAAGGGCTGACAGCTTCACAAACTACCTACTGAAAAGGGTACAAACTGTACCATTGCAAAAGGGATTAGCACACCAGGAGAAGGATTTAGTAAGATTTAACGAAGACCTGGTGGGAACTAATTCCACTATGAAACTTGAATCTATAGGGTGTCTGGCTACCCTCCCACAGAAGGGTTTCTAAGAGAAGTTTGTATCCAACACCAAGGAAGAATGTTGTCATCCTTCAGTAAAGAGAGGAGGATGACATGGCTCACTAAGCAAGCTCTTAGCACCTGAAGTGTGGTGTCCCTTCTTCTGAGAAGCCACTGGGGGGCGGCACATTCCTGGGGGGAAGCTGGTTATTGGGTGGAAAACACTAAAGCCAGAGTCAGGGATCCTCAGATAAGCACAATGCTTAAAGGATTAGCTCCAGAGGAGCCCTGGGATGGTGCCAGCTAAGCTCAGACAGAAATCATATTTATATAGTTTAGGCAAGTCAGCCTTTGCACAAGACTCCTTGTCATCAGATAGGAATTTGGTATATAAATCCCCAACCCATGACAGTAGGAATGTCCCCCCATATTCTCACAGATGCATGCCCTGAACCAAAGGCAACTTCTCATGCTCCCCTAAAACTTTATTAAGCAAGTATATGTCCAAGGTAATTACCTTGTCTGCAACTGGGATCAGTTTGGTGAAGAATGATCAGAAGGAAAGATTGCCCCACAGTTCTTGTCTTCATTGTCGACCAATTCCAAAATCTAAGGACAACATGTCCATGGGATGTGCCAGATCAACAAGTTCTTCTGGGTCTAAGATGACAGTATCTGGGGGCATCCCAGAACAGTTGTATAATCCAATGCAGCCATGAAGGAAGATCCCATTAGGCCAAACCTGCTGCTCTGGACTGACCTGGTGGCCCAGCTTAAGCACCAAAGTTAGTTGCTTTCCATTCTTGAAAGTTAGCTGAGGTGCCAGATTGAGGTTGAAGCAGCTTTTCCCCTAGAATCTTCACTGATCTCCACAGGAAAAAAAATAGAAGTCCCACAAGTACCAAGTGCTTCCTGATACTGCAGGCCTGCAAGGCCTCAGGGGCAAGGGAAGGTAGGCAGGAAAGGAGTGCACTATCCCTGTGACCCACCCTGAGGCAGCTTGGAGTGTAAACAAAGCCTGGTGCCAATAACAGAACCCAGGATGCAGCCTGGTGTGAGGTTTTCAGAAAAAGAAAATGACTCTTTCAGCACCAGAGTGGGCTTGCTTGGGTCTGCACAGCAGTCCCTCACACTGGCCCTTTCAGAAAGGAACAAGTTATTTGATGACTTGGGTCCATAAGATGTTCCCCCAAATTACTGATAGTGGATAGAATTCAGGTGACCCTCCTGAATTCCAGAACATTTCAGCCCTCTTAAACTTCATACCAGAAACCCAGAGATTAACTGTATCAACTAGAACAATGACCTAAGGTTTCAATAAAATAAAGATTATCCTCAAAAATACTAGTATTACCAGATTTCTGACTCATAAATTTGTTCATATCTACTTGTCAGACCTGAGCCAGTTGCTAGTAACACAAGACCTATCTATAAACTAAAGTATATGTCCATGATTTTAAAAATCCTTAAAGTTCACTTTTGCAGGTAAGACTCAACTGAAGATTGTGTGAAAGTGAACATAAAATCTATTATTAGAATCTGATTTACCACCACATTGAGACATCTCAGGGCAGAGAGACTCAGTTTGGGGTATTTTGAATTTTTAAACACAGACTATTATTTCCTATACATGGATGAACATTCTTTTGCTAGAATTGGTGTTCCAGGTTAAATATCAATTAGTAAAGGAATACTGGAATTTGAATTTGGTGGTAGCAGTGGCAGTGTCCAGTTAGCCACAGAGCTACTCCCCGTTAGCTGGAACAGGGAGGTCTTCCCCAGCCCTTGTTTTGGGACTGCAGCCTCTGCCAAAGCATCATGGTTCCAGCTAGGAAGGTACAGGTAGGCAGGTGGCCAAAATCAACTCAATTCAGAGCCAGAAGCTTGCCTCTTTTCTTAAGGATTTTGACCATAAGTGCAAATGTGTTCCAGGGAAATTCAGTCAGACAGGCAGGACCTCCTTCAAAAGAAGGCTAATCTGTATACAGCAAAATCCTGTGGCTCCCCAAGCACATGGACACAAATGAGAAGTCAACCTTGACAATATGGAACTTCAGTGGCCACTGTTGAGACCATGAACAGCCTTCCTCCTGTCAAGCTTATTGTTTGAGTGTGAAGTTCCATTACACAGAATGGTATTTCTCTTGTGGAATTCAGGAAAGGGGAGACACATTCCCACATCAGTTAAATAAAGCTTGCTGTTTGTGCCTCCCCCCAAACAAACAAGGAATATAACCCTCTCCCCAGGGAAGAATTCTGAGCCAGAGGAAGAAATAGTAGCATTTTGAGCCTCTAACATCAGGAGGTTGCACCTGGTCAGAGGAAAGCTCCCATAAAGTATCCTCACTTTAGAGACTTTTGGTTCAAACTTCACATGCTGTGAACCACAATCAGAGCCATCAATCTAGCACTTCCTCTCCTCTGCAGCAACTTACCCAGTATGTCAGGGGTGCACCTACTCACCCTGGAAAACTAAACAACCATTCCCCTGTTCCCCAACCCCCCCCACTCTACCCTGAGGTCCCCACCTTCAGGTACCCCAACCCTGAGTCTCCTCCCATAGCTTACCAATGAGTGAGCACTGGCCCTGAGTCCCCTTACAGAATGTGGCTCAATAGGCTCCTTTAATTCAGGAGGGCTAGGCCCACATAGTCTTGTTATCTGGACTTTGGTGGTTATGGCCACAGGTGGCCAGCTTTCCAGGCCTCAGGGAATGTCACCTCTAGCCTCTAGTCAGTTTTCCTCTCAACCTTTTTCTCTTCAGTTACATCTAGCTCAGTCAGGACGCAAAAGCAAAGTTGCTGGGTGATTCTGGTGATGGTAGCTAAATGAAAACAAAGAATCATAGGTTTTAGCAAACACATTTAGCTGCAGCCCCAACCTGAACAAACTGGAGGCTAAAAGCACATTTGTGGCTCCTTTCCCACCTGTCCCTTGGGTACCCTGGGCCAGGCTTCACCCCTCCCCACTATCCAGCCTCCTTGTCCTCATTCCATACCCAGCCAGTCTGAGGCATGACCACTTGTTTTCCTTGTACTGTCAAGAGATAATGCTTTAACCCCCAAATAGGACTCTAAAATCAGAACTAAAGAGATCATGTCAAGATCAAAAGAAAAGTCTTGTGAGCAGCCAGGTCTCATCCTCCAAAAAAATCACCAGAGTGGCAAGGGGAGTAGTTAGCCCCTGTGGGAACCTGTGCACATGTGTATATAGCCAATAAGTGATGAGACAAAGAAACTCACCCAGAACATTCCGAAGAAAGAGAGGCCTCCGGGATTCTGGAAGGTAAACACCCACGAAGTAGACAGGGACCCCGGAGAGGGCAATCCCAATGCCAATGAGAGAATTGATGGTGTCACTGAAGAGAGGCACAATCACCAGAAACAAGGAGCATATGCAGAACACGATGGGAAAAAATAGGCTCAGCTGAAATGGAGGGGGGTGAGATATTAAATAAGATGAGATAAGGGAATAGGGCATGGGTAAAAAGGCATACTAGGGAGAGGGCCCCCACTTCCTTGTCTGCACAGAACTGCTGACCTTGAGTGGCCGGGGCCGATCGGGCTCCTTCCAGCGAAGGTAGAGCTGTCCAACAACAGACAGACCCACAAAGAACCAGTAGCTGAAGCTGAAGTAATTGATGAGCAGGAAAACATCCTCCACGGTGAGGTAGATGAGTGTCATGGTACACTGGGGAAAGCAGCAAGGGAGAGGAGGGGAATATTATCACCAAAAGTCCACCCCAGGAGAGTCCACCTTCCAGCAATCATCAGATCTGATGTAGCTTCACCAGATTATCTCTAGTTTTCAGTGACCTCTTGGTATTATATACACCTGTTCTTCACATTAATCTTCAAGGCAGTGCCTCACCTTCTTCTGTTAGGCCCTTCCTACAATCAGTGCCTCCTTTCTTGTTGCAAGCACTTCAATAGCAAGGCAAGTTCTCTCGTCTTCTGATGGCAGAAAGGGATACTCTCAATGCACCAATCTCAACATGAATCACACTCTTCCCTAGGAAGATGCTTAAACTTGGATTGTTTGGCTTCAGAAATGCAGATTAGCACCAGGTGTGGTGGCACAGGCTTGTAAATCATAGCTACTAGGGAGACTGAGGCAGAAGTATCTCAAGTTTCAGGCCTGTCTGTGCTATCTAGCTATCTATTTTTACGGTACTGGGATTGAACCCAGGGGCTTTTAAAGATTTGTATTTTGAGGGCTGGGGATGTGGCTCAAGTGGTAACGCGCTTGCCTAGCATGCATGCGGCCCAGGTTCGATCCTCAGCACCACATACAAACAAAGATATTGTGTCCAACGAAAACTAAAAAAATAAATATTAAAAAAAAAATTCTCTCTCTTTCTTTTTATAAAAAAAAAAAAAGATTTGTATTTTGAGACAGGATCTCACTAAATTGCTGAAGCTGGTCTCAAATTTATGATCCTCCTGCCTCAGCCTCCTGAGTAGCTGGGATTTCAGGCATGCACCAGTACACCCAGCTCCACCTGGGCAATTTAACAAGACCCTGTCTCAAAAATAAAATTTAAAAGAAAAGGGCTTAGAGATAGAATGCTCCTGGATTCAATCCCCAGTATGAAAAAAGCAGATTAGCAAAATGGATCCATACCTCCAAGAGAGGTGGGGTGAGGGGTGGGTATGACAGAACTTGCCCTCTAGAACAAAGAATCCTGGAGGAGGACAAACCCGCATAAATACAGTTATCTCATACTAGAGAAAGGAGCCAAAAACATACATTGGAGAAAAGACTCTTCAACAGATGGTGCTGAGAAAACTAGAAATCCATATGTAGCAAAATAAAACTTAAACCCATGTCTCTCACCATGCACAAAATTCAACTCAAAGTGGATCAAGGACCTAGGAATTAGACCAAAGACCCTGTGCCTAATAGAAGAAAAAGTAGGCCAAAATCTTCATCATGTCAGATTAGGCCCTGACTTCCTTAATAAGACTACTAAAGCACAAGAAATAATCTCAAGAATCAATAAATGGGATGGATTCAAACTAAAAAGCTTCTTCTCAGCAAAAGAAACAATCGATGAGGTGAAGAAAGAGCCTACATTCTGGAAGCTAATTTTTGCCACATGCATGTCTATAAATAGAGCACTAATCCCCAGGATATATAAATAACTCAAAAAAAAAAAAAAAACAAACCAAAATGGGCTAAGGAGCTGTGCTATCTTTTCCAGAAGAATATATACAATCAATACAAATATATGACAAAATGTTCTACGTCTCTAGTAATTAGAGAAATGCAAATCAAAACTAAGATTTCATCTCACGCCAGTCAGAATGGTATCAAGAATACCAACAATAAGTGTTGGCAAGGATGTGGGGGAAAGGCACACTCATACATTGCTGGTGGAACTGCAAATTGGTGTGCCACTCTGGAAAGCAATATGGAGATTCCTTAGAAAACTTGGAATGGAACCACCATTTGACCCAGCTATCCCACTCCTCAGTCTCTACCCAATGGACTTAAAATCAGCACACTATAATAAGGCAGCCACATCGATGTTTATCGCAGCTCAATTCACAATAGCTAAACTGTGGAGCCAACCTAGATGCCCTTCAATAGATGAATGGATAAAGAAACTGGTATATATAAACAATGGAATATTACTCAGCATTAAAAGAGAATAAAATCATGACATTTGCAGGTAAATGGATGGAGTTGGAGAATATCATGCTAAGAGAAACAAACCAACCCCAAAAACCAAAGGCCTAATGTTCTCTCTGATGGTAAGTGGATGATGATCCATAATGGGGGGGGAACAGGGAAAAATGGAGGAACTTTGATTGGGCAAAGGGGAGGGACAAGAGGAGAGAGTATAGGGGTAGTAAAGATGATGGAATGTGATGGGCATTATTACCCTAGGTACATGTATGACTGCACATATGGTGCGAGGCTACATCACGTATAATCAGAGAAATCAAAAGTTGTGCTGCAGTTGTGTACAATGAATCAAAATGCATTCAGTTGTCATATATACCTATTTAAAATAAATAAATAAATTTTATTTAAAAAAAAAGAATCCTGGGGGACAAAAGTCAGGGACTACAGTCCTGAGACAGTTTGGATTTGCTTAAATTCAATATGAAGAATTCTCCCTACCTAAAATTACCCCAAATTATCAACAAAAGATTTAAAAATTTTAAAAGTCCATTCTAAAGAGATAAGGGAGGACCTTGTATTAAGGGATGTAACTCAGTAGTAGGATGTGCTAGCATGCAAAAGGCTTTGGGTTTCATCCCCACAATGCAAAATATATGATGAACTGCTTTTCAAATTTCAGAGTAAGCCTTTCTCTGGGTCCCTGTTTGTTTGGATATGAGGTGCTCCCCGAAAAGCTCTTGTGTTAATGCAGGAATGTTCAGAGGTAAAGTGATTGAATTCTAAGAGCTGTAACCTAATCTGTCCATCGTAGTATGAATGGGCTGGGTGGTAACTGTAGGCAGGTGGGGTGTGGCTGGAGGAGGTGGTCACTTGGCTAGGTGTTCTGGAAGGGTGCATTTTCCCTGCAGTCTCTTCACTCTCTTTCTCTGAGCTTCCTTGCTGCCATGAAGGAAGCTCTTCTGCTGGACTCTTCCCCTATGACGTGCTGCCTCACCTTAGGCCCAAATTAATGAAATTGGCCATCTGTGGACTGAGATCTCTGAAACTGTGAGCCCCAAATAAAATTTTCCTCCTTTAAGTTGTTCTTTTTGGGTATTTTGGTTTCAAGGGGGGAAAAAAACAAGGGACTAAAACACTCTTCCATATAAAACACCTTAGTTAGAATTAGGAGCCCTGCACAGACATGCCCAAGCCCATACTGCCCCCAACAAAGCTTACATTGAACAACAAAGCTGGGATGGGTGTAAAACGCTCAATGTGAATCATAGACAGAAGATCTGGGAGGTGGCCCTCACGTGAGCCCACGAAGAACAACCTGGAGGGATAAGAAATGTGTAAACATGTTTCTTTTAGTGAGCCATACTCCTCACTTGGACAAAAAAAGGCCTAGAGCCCCAGAAAAAGGGGACAGTCTCCCAGGCTCTATGCATGCCCAACTCATTAGTCATAATACCTACAGATGCCTCCACCCTCAGCCCTAAGCCCCTCGCTAATACCCTGGAACCACCCCCCAATCATTATCCACTGACCACCCCCGGCCATCAGCAATAGAATTTGCTATCCCCCACAGATATCCACCGCTTCTCTCAACCAGATATCTCACCAGCATCCCACAGATGCCACACCCTGCCATTGCTTCCTAGCAGAACAATCCATTTCCCAGGGGTACCCCCACTCTGCCATATTACAAATTCATAGCCAACCCAATGGCTTTTAAAGAAGAGCTGCCAGATTTCTATTTGTGCTCAGAGTATATCTTCCCCAAGTACCTGATATATGATAGGCCAAGGTGAGTATAGGGATCAAAGAGAGAACCCAGGCCTCCTCTCTATACCTAATGAGCTTTACCAACTGAAAAACAGACCAGCATGAAAATGAAGTGGTACCCAGGGTAGCCAGCAGCATCAGAGTGCATAGCACTCATTCACTAGGCTTGAGGGTTGGCTGAGGGAGCAAAAAGCTTTGCAAAGATGACCACATCTGGACTAGAAGAATAGAGTTTGCCAGGAGTGGGTAGGTGGGGAACCAACATGTCCGAAGGTAAAAGAGCTTGGAGGCATGAAAGAGCACTGCTTCTTTGAATGCTGATGCTACAATTCAAAGACCCAGGATGAAGTATACAAGGAGGGAGTGCCTGGAATTACCTGTATAAAAGGCCCAGCTGGGAGCCAGCTGTGACTTTGAAATAAAGACCTGTTAGGACTTACTGCCCTCTGGTGACCCCTGGTGGCATCATGGTGGCCACACTAAAGCAGAAAGATGCTAGGGTATGAAAGAAAGGCCAGACAAGGTCATCCATCACAATTGTTCCATAAGATCAGAGCCCTAAAGGTGGGTACCCAGGTTGAAGAATGAATAAGACAGATAGCATAACCTCAAGCATTGTAATGTGACTGTATGTGTATGTATGTTTATGTGCAAGTTTGAGCTTGGGGAAACAGGGTGGCACCAAGGGAAAAATCAAGATACCAAGTAGCCAAGTAAGAAAAAACATGGGGCACAACTGGAGAGAAATCATATGTGGGGTTCACAGTAAGTCTGAGATACTTGGGGGCCATCTCACAGAGCCCTAGGGTCAATGACATCACCTGGAAAGACATTATAGGGCAAGATATTAGAATTTGTTCATGAGGCTAATAATTTGTACTAGATAGAGGAGAAATATGACAAAGGGCATGCTGGAAGAGGAGAGGAGGCAAAGATGTACGAAGCCTCAAATAGCTGACAAAGCAAAGAAGACAGAGCAAAAAAGATAACACAGGCAGCAACTTTGACATCACTCTCCAAGTGTCCTCCACCCCCTTACTGCCAATGCCACAAGATGCCTGAGAGAGGTTGAGAAACCACCCACTATCTGGGACAACTGGCAGAGCCCAGTGAGATGTCTTGGAGCATCAGTAAGCATGAGGCTATGGGGAGTACCATGATGGGTGGGGCACCTTGTGAAGAGCCACACCAGGCTAAGTTGAGGGAGAATGACACTATATTTTCCGGGGGGGGGGGAATTGAACTTGGGGCACTCAGTCAATGAACCACATCCCCAGTACTATTTTTTATTTTATTTAGAGACAGGGTCTCACTGAGTTGCTTAGCCCTCACCGTTGCTGAGCCTGGCTTGGAATTCACAATCCTCCTGCCTTAGCCTTCTGAGCTGCTGGGATTACTGGTGTGCACCACCATGCTGGATACACTATATTCTTTACTAAGGCCTTGAACACTCTATTACTCTGGTTGCCCCAAAGATGCCACAAATACATATATTGGTGTGTAAAAACTAGTAAAAAGAATGAATGGGACAAAGCTTTTACTGATTCATCCTTCTGTGTGTTCATGTGGCAAATTTATATTAAATGCTACACTCCCGGCCCTGGGGACAAAACCATTTATAGGATAAATGGATGAATAATTAGAAAAGAAGCCTTCTTCTCAGTTATCAGATGTCACAGAAGCCATGCAAATAGTTTCAGAAAGAGAAAGTGGTCAGCATCACTTGCTTCAGAGGTCCAGTAGAATGAGGACTGAAGACAGGCTAAAAGGAAGGAATTCTTAATAAGAATATTTGTCAAGGGCTAGGGTTGTGGCTCAGTAGTAGAGTGCTCACCTAGTATGTGTGGGGCACTGGGTTCGATCCTCAGCACCACATAAAAAAATAAATAAAATAAAGATATTGTGTTCATCTACAACTAAAACAGAAATTCTTAAAAAAAAAAAAAAGAATATCTGTCAAGTAACAGAAGCCAAACTATAAGTGGAAAATGAAATGTTGACTACTGTTCTCAAGTACATACCAGGGATAAGGGTGGAGTATGTATTTAATATATGTAGGGATCTAGTTCAATCCCAAGCATACACCCACACACAGTGTTTCATGTAAGGGGAACAGGAGAGATGGAAAAAGCTGTGACTTCTCTAAGTAGAAATAAGAGAAAGTCATGGAGAGCTGGCTCCAAGTGAACATCCACCAAAGAGAGGAGATAAGTGATGAAGCAAATGCTTAAAAAAAGGGGAAGTGCTAACCCCTGAGGCCAGCTAATGGAAGGAGACATAATTCTTTATCTGCATCAATAGGAAGACAGTTCTGTGCACTGAGAGAAGAGCAGGAGCCTACTTAACAGCCTCAGTGTTCTCTGTGAAGTGAGGGGCAGAGTCATCCTGTTCGCAGCACTATTACCTGGTGTATACCAAATGCTCAGTTATTAATTTATTGAAAGTACAAATCCTGGGACTTTAGTATAACCTACAAGGAGCCTAAAACTTGATACCTGCCACGGTCACTACTATAAGCTATTTCCTTCCTCCCCTATACCCTTACCATCCATCCTAACGTCAGATAGAAACATGAGGTACCAGTATACAAATGTTTGCACAAAAACAAACACACGCTCCCACACAGAGAGTTTCTGCCTATAAGAGGGACAGAAAAACGACAAGCTCTTATACCTACAGCTCCAGAAAATTAAATGTTGTAGAGTATTATTGGTAAAGTGAGATACATACCTTGATGAAGCAAAGATAGATGCATTGAGGCCCCCAAAGCAGGACAGGGCAACAGCAATAGGGATGGTCCAGCTGAACATGTCAAATGTCTGGTCAGCAAATGTCTGGTGGCAGAGCACAGAAGGGGCACTCAACACAGGACAGGGTTTCAAATCCTGTGCATTGACAATCTCAGGACAAAAGTAGTCACTGCTGAACAGCCCACCATCTGGCCTAGACCCATCCCACCATCTTTCAGAGCTGGAGTAGCTGCAGAGGAGAGAGACTAGGCCATTTAAAGGGGCTGAGGATCATGAGATGAGAAGAAAATGAGGTTTCCAAGAGACTCACCACAGCCACTGCATCACTGTTAAGGACATCCGAAATGTTCAGCACTGTGTAATAGGCCACGTTGGTCAGGATGTAGATAAACGTCACAATTGGCATAGAAATCCCAATGGCCAAGGGCAAATTTCTGTCAGGACAAGTGAGATAGAACCTAGAACCCTACCTAGAACCCACCTCTCCTAGAGATCAAAGTTCATCAAGTCTCTACGGAAATTTTCCTAAGTGTTTGAGGCAGTCTTTCCCCATGTGGTCTAGAGTGGGTATACATCCAGTGCCCCTGGGCTCTTTCTATTGAGAAATAGAGAGAGAAAATCCTTGCCACTGAAGGTCCAATGAGTCCCACAGGATTCATAATCCTTCAGTATTTATCATCTCAGGACAAATCCAAGGAGCGATTTGGTCCTATGGAGACCAGAAGCCAGACTAGGGAACCAGCTGGCCAGAAGCAGCTCAGGTTTCACAGACTGCAGTCTCAGCAGCAGAGTGTAAGGTCTTGACACCTCAGACCCAGCTGGGTCTGCTGCTGCCCACTGAAGACCTCTCCTCTAGGAAGGTCCCTGGGGACCCTCCAGTGCAAACATGAGGGTGAGAACCAAGGGCTTTCCCACCATCACTCACTCCCATCCTAACCTCCAACCCCTCCTAACTGGAGAAGGGTAATAGAGAGAAGAGGGAATGAGAGGCAGAGGGAAGACTGTGGGAAGAGGGCAATGTACCCATTATCAGCAGGAGTTCCAGCTAAGCTGGGGAGTTGAGAGTGTGATCTCGCTTTTACCTTTCTGGGTTTTTGATTTCTTCTGTTACAAAATTAAGGGTGTCCCAACCTGAGTAAGAGAAGAGGGCAGAGTAGAGGGCAAGAGAGAGGTTTCCCATGTCCCAGGAGGAACCCTGAAAGGCATCCTGAAAGTGCTCAGAGCGTCCTGTGGGGACAAAAGCAGGTGGGAATTCAGAAAGAAGAAAAAAGTTCAAGGAGAATAGGGAAAGGGGGATGGAAGGAATATGGAGAAGAGGAAAAATGGGGAAGATAATAAGAAAGAAGAAAGGAAAATGAAAAAAAGCAAAAAAGGGGAGGGAAAAAAAAGGAGGGATAAGAAAAGACAGGGAAAATATAGGACAAGGGAAAGAAAAAAAAAAATATCATTTAGCACCAAAAGAACAACAACCACCAGTTCCCTGTACTCTACCACCCAACCCACATCCTCAGAAAAGCTCATATTCCTTCCGTAAAACTAGACAATCTCAGAAAAACAAAGGCATTTCCTCAGATGTGCCAATATTTTTTCTAAAACCCTAAGGAATTTCCATTTCTACAAATGACTCACAGCAGGCCACAACTCTTCTTCTATTTTTTATAACACCACAAGGCTTTCACATAAAGAGGTCATTTTCCACTACTCATTAGAACTTCCTGTGAGGATCTTGGCCCACATCACTGCACATTTGGTCATGTGGGTTTATCAGTCTTGCAGAAAGGATCTGCCACTCCACTTGCAGTGGGTGTGGTTGCACGGGGCAGGAAATCACAGGCTATACAGGAAATGAGATTTTCTTGTCTCTCAGGGAGCCAACCCAGGCACCTGTCATTCTCTTTAGAGACCTCTGGAGACTACAAATCTGAAATCCCAGGGGGCAACACCCTGCCACACAGATCAGAGACCTTCTGGACACACTGAGGTTTTTTAATAGAACTCAGACTTCTAAGGAAGCTTGTAATAACCTGCTGCAGAAAGCCTAGATGCAGTTTACAATATGAAAGAAAGGGCTAGGTGTGCAGCAAGAGCAGTGAAAATAGATATCCATCCTCCAGGGATGTCAGTCATTGCACACAGTGGTTCCCTGAAGCACAGATTTTAGGAGGAGAATTACTCAACAATCACTGACACCAAGATGTTCTTGAGACTCCAAGGACACCCAGATGGCTGGCTGCACTTAGCATGAGTGCACAAAGGTCCTGGACTGATCACACAGGATACTTATTAAAAGCACAGCTTTTTAGACTTAAAACCAGCCAAAGCCAGGTGTAGTGTCACATGCCTGTTATTCCAGTAACCTGGGAGGCTAAGGCAGGAGGATTGCAAGCAAGGTTAGCCTCAGCCACATAGTGAGACCCTCTCTCAAAATAAAAACTAAAAAGAACTGGGGCTGTAGCTCAGTGGTAAAGCACCCCTCCCCACCCTTGTTTCAAACTCCAATACCAAAACAAAACAAAAAACAACCAATCAAAGTATGATTCAATAGGTCTGATATGAGGGTCTCAGATCCCCAAGGGGTGTAAAACAGACACATTTAGGGATGGATGATCTAGAAAATGAGATCGTTAAGTGAGGGAGAAATCCTTGGCTAAAGACCTCTCAGGACTTCTCTAAGGCCCCAGGAGATCTTAGGAGGCCTGTTATCCTCACTGCCAATCTGCTCTGATATAGAAATGAAAAGCTTTTAAAAGCCTATGTAAGGAAAGACAGTGTCAGTTTCCTAATATTCTAGTATTTTCTTAAGAGCTGACTTTGGGACAGAATGCTAAATGCAAATTCAGATGAAAAGTAAAGGCTACAAAATAACCACTCATTTCTACACCCACACACACCCTGACACTCCCTTCCAGGAAGGTCAAATTTTCCTATCCACTGCCTGGCAGTCACAGACCCAAACCCAGGAGCCCACTCTGTCTTCCCCCTGGTTACCTTTGTGACCCAATTATGACCGAAGTTTCAAAACTTTCTAGGCCCTCAACTGGCTTCTTACAATGGTCCCAGTCTCCACAAAATGAAAGCAGCCCTGAGGGAGGGCCTGACATATCTAGCCTGGCCTACAAGGGCAAGAAGAGATTCAAGGCCATCTCTTGAACTCATGGAAACACTAACATGTACACAGAAAGAACTGAGTAGTAAAGCTAGTAAAGTCCCCATATCTTCCTCAGGGAACCAGAGGAGCTCCTGGACATCCACCCTTCTTCCCACCTCAGGCCCCTCTTACCCTGGCACAGTTTAACAATGCCCATGACAATGATGGCAATGAGGGCTAGGACCTTGGCGTAAGTGAACGTGTCCTGTACTCGTGTGCCCCACTTGACATAGGCACAGTTCACAAATGTCAGCAGACCTAGGAGGAAAACCATAAAGTCACTGCCAGGCTTAAGCTGATGGCATATAGGCCCACCCTCTTTACAGAGAGCATCACTTCTGCCCTTCTTGCCTAAATTAGAGGGAACAATGGACGATGAGAACCAAAACAGGCAAATAGACAGAAAACTTGAACCTGCCCCACCTGACAGCACCTATGAATGTCCCAATACTGTGGATATTCAGAGATAAAAAAGGTAGCCAGGCACATGGTGCATACCAGTAATCACAGCTACTCAGGAGGCTCACATAGGAGGATCACAACTTTGAAGCCAGCCTCAGCATCTTATTGAGACTCTGTCTCAAAATAAAACAAAAAGGGCTGGGTCTAATTCAGTCCCCATTCCCTCTAAAAACCATCCCCCCAAATACCAGCTATCCCCTCCCTGTCTACTCTCTCCCCTGAACCCTATGGCATTCCCACTTCATAGCTAGAGTCTGATGCTAGGTTCCTATGGACATCTGTCTTAAAACAGGTCTTTTAGGTGTTTATGTGCTTCCCCAAGATCACAAATTTTCAGATGGCAACAAAAGCAAAGCATGTTTTTAAGCTCACTGCTAAGCAAAGGAGAACTAAGGAACCTTTGCTGGAATCAAAGTAGTGATGGCTTTCACTTGACAGCCAATTCACTGGGATAAGGCAATTGTCAGAAAGGTATCAAAAGGAGAAGAACACCCAGGGCCAGCTGTGGAAGTAAACACAGGAGGCAGAAGAGTCTCTATGGTGCTTTAAGAGCTTCACTCAATACACTGGCAAATTACACAGGTGTTCACTAGTCAATCATGGGGGGGACTGGAGGCACCAATGGACACAAAGAAAAAACCCAAAGGAGTGTGTGCTGCTGGAAAGTCTTCCCAGGGACCTACCTGATTATCAAAATTGTATGTATGGACTAAGCCTAATCAGCTAACATACATAGTTAATAGCCACCAGTAATCCACAGACCTCTGTAGATTACCCCTGTGATATAATACAGTAAGCATATTTTTAGGTACTTACCCAGTCCCTTCTTGAGAATTGCTTCCCCTCTTCATCATAGCTAACTAAGCCAGACATTGGACCCATGCTGGCTTTTTAGATTGTCTCCCCCAGGAATATGGAATTTGAATACCAAGAGACCAAATCTAATAGTAGCAGGGTACTCTAACATGAGTTGGGAACCACAACAAGTCAAACACACAAGCCCTTGGTAACAGAGGACCAGAAACCACAAGTAAGCAGAGGAAGGAAGCAGGACTACAAAAACAAACAGAAGTGAGAGAATAAGAAATACACAGAACTGGACATAAGGTGCACACCTGTAATCCCAGCAACTAGGGAAGCTGAGGAGGGAGGATTGCAAGTTTGTGGCCAGCCTCAGCAATGTAGCAAGACCCTAAGCAACTTAGCAAGACCTTATCTCAGAATTAAAAAAAGGGCTGGGGATGTAGCTCAGTGGTAAAGCACCCTTGGGTTCAATCCCTAGTACAAAAAAAAAAAAAAAAAGAAAGAAATACACAAAGTAAACAGCAGAGATAGATATAAGGGAAAGACAATGAAATAGAGACACAGGGAAGGAAACAAAAAGAAAAACAAAAAAAAAAAAAGATAACATGGGTAAAAAAGGATCCACATTGGAAAAGAAACTGACAATATCCTGGAAGTGCTCACTGAGCTTGTATGTAGAACCAAAATGGGGAAGGGACTGATAACAATCTTCATTCCACAATGCCAGGCATAGCACCTTCTCCTTCCCTCAGTCCTGTTGCTAATTTCCTGCAGGGCTAGTCCTCTCTGCACACAAGTAAATAGAGCACACTGTGGAAATTCAATGACTGTGAGCTAAACTAATGAATGAAGTCCATTCCCCAAGGAAGTCCCTGCAGGGTCAGTTCCAAAAGACCTGCTGCAAGGATATAAAAGCACCTGGTCAGTAACACTACCTCCTGAGAAGAAAACTAAAGATCTGGAGAGGGAGGGGGCCTTTTTCTACACCATTTTATACTTTGACACATTCACTATGCACATATACTTCTTTCTCAATGAACATAGTTAAAATGCCACAATGTACAGCCAGAGAACAGGGCCAGGGGTAGGATCAAAAGTCAGATATCCAGGGCACAAAATGTAAAAAAAAAACCATCCACTTTCAGGGGACCATGTGCAGGAACCTGAGAGTGAGTGTATCCTTACTTCCTGGCTCCAGGCTCCTAGCTTGCCTCATTCTACTCTCAGCCCTGCCAGAGAACATTCTATCAAGCAGAAGCCAAGTCCCTTGACTGCTTTCCTGATTCTAATTAAGAAACACAATTTCACCATCTAAATCACACCCCTTGATGCCTCCCAGAACTCCAAGCCCATGGGGCTGGGGTTGAGGCTCAGTTGTAGAGTGCTTGCCTAGCAAGTGTGAGGCACTGGGTTCAATTCTCAGCACCACATATAAATAAATTAAATAATAAAGGTCTATTGACAACTAAAAAAGTATGTTAAAAAAGTAAAATAAAATAAAGAACTCTCATCTAGCTAGCTCACTAGACTGTATCAGAGCTCAAAGACAAGGTTGAGCTTTGTGGCCAGGTGCTCAGATTCCACTGCCTCCACTTGAACTTCTAAGCTTTCTCTCTCTGTGGCATTTCCTTGTTGGATAAGCTGACACCAATAAGCAGGGACCCATATGAGGCTCTCCCAGAGAAATCAGTACTTAAAGAGATCCAGACCCAACCATGACACAGAAACAAATTCCCAAAGTCTTTCTGTGGTAGAGATTGCTAGTCATCTTCTCCAAACTCCTTAACAGAAACTTGAGCTAGTCTTGGCCACTCTAAAACAGACATTCCTAGTTTCCCCTGCAACTACTTAAGGCTAGGAAACTAGATTTTCTCCCAGATATGTGAGCAGATAAGACCTCTAAAGGGAAGAGTATACCTTTGTCCTTCTGGTCACCTACAATGCCCAACATGACCTGTGGAGCTTGAGTAGTCATGCTGGACCACAGTTAGACGTCACAGGCTGAGGATGGCAGAGCATTAAGATAGAAGAAAGAAACCTGGCTCTCTGAAGCATTTTAAAAGTTGTCTTACCAACCCAACCTGCCTATTTTTTTTTTTAATTTTTAATATTTATTTTTTTAGTTATTGGCGGACACAACATCTTTGTTTGTATGTGGTGCTGAGGATCAAACCTGGGCTGCACGCATGCCAGGCGAGCACGCTACCGCTTGAGCCACATCCCCAGCCCCAACCTGCCTATTTTTAATAGGTGAGAGAAATAAACTTCAACATTGGAGTCATGCTTCTTTGGGTTTTCTGTTGTATGAAACCCAAACTAATCCTAAGTAACACATGCTCCTCCTGACAGAGCTGTACCTCTAACACTCTCCCTGACAGCAAGTGGCTGGGTGGCCTGAAGCTGTAGTCCCAGCTATGCTGAGAGTCACAGTTTCCTTTTGGAGGGGAGAGGAGGGAAACCTTCCAAGTCTTCTCACAAACAGGCTGGGTGTTACCAAGGGCATCCAAGGACAAAGGAGTACAGTCCTACAAGGCAATGACAAAGGTGGTGGGAAAAAAGAGGGGGGCAAATTTTTATTTTTTTTGTGCTGATGAGGATTGAACCCATGGCCTTGTGCATAAGAGGCAAGCACTCTACCAACTGAGCTATATCCCCAGCCCAAGGGGGCCAATTTTAAGTCTTTTCGGAGTGAAATGCTCTACAACAGTCCATTTCCTTCCAAATGGAAATCCAGAATCAGTAGCTACCTCCTAGAATGTATAGGAATATGTAATTTGTGTGCCTTTTAAGGAGTATTCCTAAAGCAGGGCCCAATGGCATGCCCCTACAGTCCCAGCTACTCAGGAAGCTGAGGCAGGAGGGTTACTTAAGCTTGGATCAAGGCCAGCCTGATCAACACAGCAAGACCAATCATAAAAATAAATAAATAAATAAGCCAGGTGCAGTGGCATATGCCTGTAATCCTAGCAACTCAGGAGACTGAGACAGGAGGGTCACAAGTTTGAGGTTAGCCTTGGCAACTTAGCAAGAACCTCAGCAATTTGGCAAGCCTCTGCCTTAAAATGAAAAATAAAAAGGATGGGGATGTAGCTCAGTGGTAAAGTGGTTCAGGTTTGATCCCCAGTTCTGCAAAGAAAACAAAAAAAAAGAAACAGCAAAGAAAAAAATTAGATCCTAATTTCTGAAAATAGCAGAACTGCCAACCCTGATAGCGCACAACTGTGATACCAGCAATTCAGGAAGCTGAGACTGGAGGATCACAAACTTGAGGCTTGAGACCTTTCTCAAAAAAAGGACTGGGAATATAGCTCATATCAATCCCTTTTTATTTTGAGAGAAGGGTAAGGTTCAATCCCAGTAACAACAGATAGGCAGATAACTGAATAGATAGATAGATAGATAAATAAAACTATGGGGGGGTACATATAGCTTAGTATTAGAATGTGTGGGGGGGGCAAGGGTTCAATTCCTAACACCAAAAAAAAAAAAGAAAGAAAGAAAGAAAAGAATCCTTGTCTTTAATTATACAAATATATCTAGTCTTATTATCCGAACACTTGAACTACATATAGGGTTAGAGTCTTTGAGCAAGATCAAGACTCCTTAGCCTTGTGTCACTTAGAAATATGAAAGATGGCTGGGTGCAGTGATACAAGCCTGTAATTCCAGCAATTGGGGAGGCTGAGGAAAGAGGATTGCAATTTGATTGCTAAATGGCCAACCTCAGCCATTTAGTGAGGCCCTAAACACCTCAAAATAAAAAATAAGAAGGGCTGGGGATGTAACTCTGATAAAGTGCTCCCCAGTATGAGAGAGAGAGAGAGAGAGAGACCCATCTATCCATAGTAACTACTGATCAAAATAGGGGGAGAATATCCCCCCCCACACACCTTTTTTGGTACTGGGAATTGAACCCAGGGGCACTTTACCACTGAGATGCATATCAAGCCCTTTTTATCTTGAGAGAAGTTCTCACTATGTTGCTTAAGGCC